GAAGGCCCTCTATGAGGTGGATTGATCTGGTGACTGGGGCAATCGGGTTGAGTGTGTTAGAGGCAATGAGATTGGCACAGGACAGAGCAGAGTTTAGAGCTGTTGTACATAGGGTTGCTATGAGTCGTAAGCTACTCGACGGCACATAACAACAACAACAACAATGGTCAGAATTAAAAAATCATAAAAAAGTTTATAAAAAATATCATGTGAAAATGTCTAATAACATTTAAATTACCATTTGAAATTCTTTAACAATTCTCACTTCATTTGAGTAAAACCACCAAGAAATATGTAAATGTTCTAAGGCCTCTTTCAACATTTTTCTAGAGCAGACTGATAGAATGATACCATGCACAGACTTTTAAAAAAACCCTTCAGCTCTGGAATTGTATGTTCTCCATATAGTGAACAACTCCTGCAGAAAAAATGACCAATATTTTCCCTCATACTTTATTCCATCTTTGATACTTACTAATGCCTTTCTCTTTAGGAGCAATCTTCTCCATATCCTTTAGTTGAAATACATCTTTCTGTTTTAAAAGAAATTACAAAAATATCATGAATTTATTTTCTACTACATGTATTTGCCATAACAATTTATAAGATAAAACTAAGCCTAGATTTGAATAATGCCACAGCATGTAAGCATTTTGGAACCTGAAGAAACGTCATGATTACTAGAATTTAAAATGAACACTTCTACATGAAAACATAATTCCAGAAGTACTGGAAGATCAGAACACAAAGAACATCTTCCCACTGATATATAAAAACTAGTTGTGATGGATTATTGTTAACATGAAGTAATGAGATTTTCTGATAGTTTGAATTTACAAAAACAAATACTGTTTAGCTTAGCATAAATCATACTCCACAGATTTGATATTTTTAACTAAAAGCAAAACAAATGAATGCTAAGAACTGTTTATATTTAACATTTCATGAACAAGCCGTATCTAAACAGGAAAATTACACAATTCTTGGCTGCCAATCAGTCATTCATCTATACATGTTGTAAGTACCCTCAAAGAAAGCAAAACATCAGGAAAAATAATATGTAAAATATTTAAATATTTAGTCTTATGGTTATAAAAAAAATCTTATTTAAAGCATATCTTTCTTAAAAGTCTTAGCTCAAATGGTAAAAAGAACCTTAGATCGCAAAAATGAAATATTATAAAAGGCTAAAATATTTTGTAATTAGAACAGAATTATTATTATTATGGAAATCAGGTTCTATTTCTCTCAAAATAAATCTGAGAAAGCAACTTCAATAGGACAGAAATTACCTTAACAAAAATGAAAAGCTTCTGCTTATCTAAAGACACACTTAAGAAAATGGAAAGGCAAATTTTCACCAGAAGGAACTATGCATGACAAAGGTCCTAGGATAATAACTCTTGTAATATATGCAAAAAATACTGATAGATAGATAATGAAGTTGGAGAATTTACATATATACATGAACAACACATCAAACGAGAACTGCCAGAAGTACAGGCTGGGTATAGAAGGGCTATGGTACATGGAGTTGCTATTAGTCGCAGGCCACATAAGACAACCACCACCACACACATAAATAGATAGATAGGCAGACAGACAGATAATCTCATATATATGATAAAGCAAATAGAGTAAAATCTTGGCCATGTGTGTATATATGAGTTTTACTCTAAAATTCTCTTTACTGTTTATTTCTTTTAAATACTATTTTGTTGTTTTTACATTTAAGTTAGGTTTCATTTGACAATTATATACAAACTAATATGACAACAGTTACATTTTGCATAATGTGTCATTCTCTTTATTTTGTTCTTATTCTCTTTCTTTTATCTATTTTAAGATTTCTTTTTTGTTTTAAAAAATTTTAAATTATGTTTTCATTACACTTTATAGAGGACTTGGATTTACATTCATTTCTTGTTGTACATTTTCCTCTCTAACCACACCCACTCCAGACTGCTTTTCTCTTTCAAACAAAATTCCTTCACTGTTAAATAATTACCAATCCCCCCACCCCCATCCCCATCCACTTTACTATACAGCTCTTATTCTGGACTGTTGTCTCGCAAATAATACCCTACCATACATTCCTTTTAAACACTTCTTTCCCTCATCACATTGTAGTTTCAATGCAGTATACATTATTTAGTCTCTCTTTTCTTAATTTCCCCCTTACCCCCATGTCAATCCTGTTTTATAACAGTGGCATTATGCCACTTTTATGACTGAAATATTTCACTCAGCATTACATCCTCAAGGGTCACCATTTTGTATATTTCATAAGTGCCTTGTTTTTCAGTGCTGCATAGTATCCCATTGTGTGACTATACCACAGCTTCTCTATTCATTTGTTT